AAACAACCACAAAACTGCCGAGATAAAATTGTATATATCAGGTTTTGTACATGAAATCTTTTTGTTCTGTCTGTTTTGACAAGCGTAATATAAAAAGACACCGTTGCTTAAAGAAAGATACCGATTTTTGTTCAATTATACTGTATGCGTTTTTTTTCTAATAGAATCACGTTCAGTTCACGTCGCGGCGCAAAACATCCCAGAAATCTCCATGCCACACATCTCAACCATCCCCGATCCATACATGCCGTCCATATACCGCCGTATGATGACGTTTGGAAAACCATTGAATCCTGGTTTTATGACACTAGGACACCCTATCTCGGAAAAGCGTGGCAAACGTGAAATGTCGTTTGGAGCCACCAGTGGCGATGTTGGCCAACAGGGAACTAACTCGGGGAGTGTTGCCGTCGAAAGTCAATCGAACGGCCGAAAATGAAGAATGATTTCTTTCCTGGGCTTCATCCTAAGTATGAAAAGGGACATCCAGTTGTAGTTCAGTAATGATTTAATGTGGTTTTGGAGCTTATGGCATCTCATCACTTAAGGGAAGTAATAACTGTAGAAGTAGTAGCAAAATAAAGGTGTTTGAAAAGAACTTTTTACTGTTTGCTGATGAGCCACGCATTCATTGGTATTCGCTGGGAATTTTTTGCATTGACGTGCGGGTTTGACAAGGAAAAGGTTTCGAGAATGTTGAAACTTGACGAAGCCTGACAAAATTCTTTTCTGTATGTGTTTGTTCGCTTTTTTGGCCTTGACCATGCACAAAACACAATAGTTCTTTATTCCGTACTGAGGAACTAACCAATAGAACCGTTTTGGTTACGTAATTCATGCATAGTGTACGAGCGGAACACAAAAGATTGTGCACGGTCTTGGACCTGTTAACATAAGTCATGAAATCTTTGTTTGCTCCTTTGATGTTTGCCGGGCTTCATAACCATTCCCCTCTATTACCTATGCTCTAAACATACATTTCTCCCCTAAAAATTTGTAATGTTGGATGGGTGCACCTGGTATCTTGACGCGCTTTACCAGTTTCGTGACTAGGCTATTTTAAGAACTAAACTCAGCCGAAAAAAAAGTTACTTGGGTCGTTGCGAAGCAGATTTTTAACGAATTTTTTTGTGCAAAACATGGAAGTTTGGTACATGATCTGAAAACTGAAACCTAAAAATTGGTACCGAAATAGAGTTACTCCACGGAAAATGCGGGTGATGATTTTTATTTCCGGAAAAAAATGTTCCTGTCCATGTTTTCGACATAATACTCTGCTGAAGTTTCATAATAAATAAATCTTTTTTAAGTTAATTGTTGAAAGAAATTAATTTGAATTGTATAATTTAGTGAAGAATTTGAACAAAGTTCGAAAAGCAAAGCCTGAATGAGAATCGCCTTGTTACGGTTCACACGGCAAGAAACGTGATACGCAACTACTGATTGGACGTTTTGTTTTCTCTACGCGTCAAAAATGCGATACGCGTCAATGATTGGCTCTCGGCTACTTGGACCAGGTTGTGATTGAAAATCTCTTTCGCTCGCGCCTCTTAATTTCATGTGGTAAATCTCATTATGTATAATAATACGACTGTAATCACGATCTTTTCACCCTCACACGAACCAACGTAAATAAGCGCACAAATACCTAAAAACGGTTAGAGTTAGTTATCCGGTGCACAAAAAAGTCAGTGTCTTTTTCACATTTGATTTACATAATCTCACACTCTAAAACCTAGGAAAAACACTGACAGCAACTATCGCTCGTAGTAGTCACTTTCGTAATGATTCAATGCAAATAATCAGGTCTAAACTCGCTGGAAACTGGTTTTTGAAATGAAGCATTGGAAGATCATTTTCAACGGGTGGTTATTCGGTGGCGACACGCTTAAAGTGCCACTAACCCCCCCAATTTTTTTTCCTTTATTAAAATCTACTAGTTTCCCTGATTACTTCAGCGAAAAAATTATCTCGATTGATAAAATCCCTGCGCTTCTACAGGCGTTTACACACGTCATTTCCCTTTTCACGACCGCGCGAAGTTGGATCTGGGTCGGGCTACTAGTGACGTCACTTCGGGAACCGGTCTAAAACACTCAAGAGGCTTTTGACTGAGCTTCGAGGAGAGTCAAAACATTTTCGGGTTATTTGTGATTCATATTTTATCAGAACTGGACAAGAACTTTAAGTGAAAGAACAATATCATCTAGCATTACAATTCGGAGTCTAGCTACGATTTGGACGGCTGCGAAGTACATACTTTTGTTTTTCATTTTGAAGTGCGGGTCGCCAGTCGAGATCGCCGCGTTGTATAATTATATTTAGGCCGGGATCG